GAAGATTAAGGTGCTTTTAAAGCCTATTTTTTCGCCTCTTGTATTTGTCTAGTAAAAACATTAAACGATGACTATATAAAACTAGCCGTTAATGTGAATCTGTCAGCCATTTCAGCAATTTATAAATGAAAGTCTTGCCAAAGAGAAGGTGCCATAAGGTATTTGCTGTTATCTTTGTTTGGCATAAATACCTGTTCTGTGCACCCCTCTGATTCTGCTTTATCTTTGTTAGCAAGACTTTAACATTACGGAATATAAAGCTAGACCTCACTGTTTGTTCCTAAAGCACAACTTCACCCTGTCCTATAGTTGAACGTAATTCCCAACAATCATACTTTTTTTTTTTTTCTAGCTGTCCCATGGGCCTTTGTCTCTTTCCCAAGCAACAGTGGTGGGTGGTTCTTGGTGCTGCAGAGAATGGTATTCACGTTATATGTGTCTATCTATAACCATTCACACAAAAAGTGCAAATAACACTGCAAATATATTCTTTCTTAAAAAAGAGAATTTGTTTTGTGCAGACAAATATATCTTCTTTCACAGGCAAACCTTACCAAAGCAGGTGGTTGTACAATAATTTAGAGTAATCTTTCTATTGTGAACATAACCAGGTCGTTCAATTGTACAATAACAAAGAATAGAGAGGGGAATTTATCAAAACTGGAGCAGACTGGATCAGCTGTGCATGGCAAACAATCAGCCTCTCTCTTTCATTTTCAAATCCTAACTGAACAAACTGAAAAGAGAAGCTGATTGGTTGCCCTGGGCAACTGCTCCAGATTTTGTCTGCTCCAGTTTTGGTAAATTACTCCCAGGGTCTTTCCTGGCGAACGTATTACTATCCCTACTAGATGTGACTACCTCCCCTCAGGCTGGTTGTTAGGAAGCCAGCAGCTGCTGGCATCCCAAAAACCATTCCAACTGTCGGCTGGGGATAGGTAAAAAGTACCCCTACTCATTACCAACAAGAAAGTGTAAATAAAAACACCACAATTTTTGACTAGTTCTTTATATATTTAAATCCCACAAAAACGTCCCATGCTGCAGATTCTTGTCAGTCATGACGGACACATTCATATCCAATGGGAGATTATCCCCAAATAAAAACTCCAGTCTCTGTAGCTGAATGTAACAAAGGGACAGAGTCTAGTCAATGATATCATTGACCAAAAATGGACATGTTCATTTTTTTGTCAATTATGTCCCTTGCTATGCCCACTCCTTTGTTTTACAATTAGGTAAAAGTGGGCAAGGCCTGATTGGGAATTCTGACATGCTAGTTCCCCATCAGGTCCTCCTCATTTTTGACTGACAGCAGACAGTGGACGTATTCCATAACCAACCGCAGGCTATGGAATCTACCCACTGCCTGCTGCAAGTCACAAGGTAGGAGGACCTGATGGGCAACTAGCCTGTCAGAGTTCCCCATCAGGCCCTACCCACTTTTACCTATTACAAAGGAGTGAGTATACCCAGTGACGTCATTGACATCTCCAGCTATACCCCGCTCTTTTCTGGGCTCACAGGAAGAAGGTTGAATTACGCATTCAACCCAAAAGAAGACCTGTAAAGCCCTGTTGAGATTAGTGCTGGAGCAAAAAAAAAAAAGTGAGTGGTGTTTTAACATTCTTTTTCATAACAGGAAAGGGGACAAAAAAAGACCAAGAGAAAAGAAAAAAAATAAGGGATTTGGGCTTAAGCAACCAGCACCAACCCTCTAACAGAATACTCTTAATGGCCTCTCTGTTTGTCTGGTGGATAGGTGGATCTAAGTCCTAAAGTCAGGAAAGTCAGACCCTTGGTAAAAAAAAGAATCCCAAAAATAAACAATCATAGCAGCATCAGGACAGTGCTCGAAACTACCTTTTATGGCAAACAGTAGTAATAGCAGGCACCTTGTTATACCTGCACTTATACAGCTTAAAATGAGTGACAGGTTTACTTAAAGTATATGTATAGCCAAAACTTTTTTTCAGTTTTGGATAGAATAGGGAAGAATTATTATACCTGTCAGTTTTATTTTTGCTGTTTTGTATCCTATTGGGGAGATTTTTCTTTACTTCCTGTCCCAGGGATTGAAAGGAAATTTCTACAGAGTGTGGAGAATTTCCTTCTTAGACAATTGTCACCAAACAATTTACCCTTACCTCTTCTTTTTTTGTGAAAACTCTAAAATCCTGTTTTTTCCTACCTTAGTAACAATGGTCACAAGGACAAACCACATAAACCTGATAGTGCTGCAAATTATTACCTACTCTATCAAAAAACAAAAAAAGTTTTGGCTATACTGTGTGATCAGGCCATGAAAGCTGGTCACTGTTTTCAGATTAGAATGCCGCTTTTTTAGAAAATCTTGGTAAGTGCCTCATTTCAAGAATGAACTGTAAAAACCTGTTCCCTTCCTGCAGCACACGGACATGCCTGAAGAAATGCGTGTAGAAACCATGGAGCTTTGTGTTACAGCCTGTGAAAAGTTTGCAAGTAATAACGAGGTATAGTCAACATACATATCACAGCTTACAGATACTTACAGATTCCTTAGGCTTTATTATAGAGTGAGCCAGTTGTCTCAGAGGAGAGAGGAGGGTTGCATTTGTTAAGCACTTATCCAAAGGGCACTCACCTTACAAAGTATTCATACTGGCATTTCAGGTGGCACATGTCTAAAGCTGTAGCGTTGGGATTTTGGTCAAATCTATATCGCAGCTGTTTAGATACTATGATATAGAATAGACTTCATCACATAAGAATGGCTTGACATCAGTCCACCAAAAAAGCATTGCTTTCGCAAATCATATATTTTTTTTTAAATCAGATAGTTTTTATTGAAGTTTTAAGTTTTACACACACACAGTATAACACATGAGCAAATCATATATTTAAATAAAAATATGTTTTTTGCACTTGTCTGATTTAACTTTGGCTATCAGTAGGGAGTATTTTACAATAATGTGCATTTTAGATTTCTTGATCTTACGTCAGAGTTAATTTTGAAACCACTAGGTTATGCAATTATTTGCCTGGTCACAGGCAAATCGGTCAAAGCTGCAGGAACAGCCCTGCATAACCCCCCCACTCCTAGCCTGCCTCATTGTTTTGCTATTTACCTTAGATGTTGGGTGCCTTCTCTCAGCTGTTAGAAAATTACACTCTTTTTCTCCTATTTTTGCTAATCCTTTTGCACATGATTCTTCCATCATTTTTTCTTTTTTAACACTGGTCCTTGCCCCTGCAGCACCTATAGCATCTATCTTGATTGGTTATCCCCTCGGCAGGGTCTTGGCGGACTGCACCCAGACCCTGCCAGACAAGAGGCAGGAACGGAGCAGCCTGTAATGTGCTATGTTACTGGACTCTGCATTTAGTGCCCTCCATGGCTCTCCGTTTAGTGTGTGGTTTGCTAGAGTGTGCTTTAGAGGTGAAAGCCATGGTCCATCTAGGTGAAGCCCTGATCCTGAAGAACCCCCCTTTAATGGGACCTGGAGGGCAAAGCGTGTTTGCTATATTTACTCACGGCAGCCATGGTGAGAACCTTTGGTTTATTATCTTTGGCTCTAGTACACTTTCAGAGTTGTACGTTTAGCAGTGTCAGTTTTTAAACTTGGAACACTTTATTTTCCTACAATTGGGAATTTTTACTGCACCTGCACAGCCTCCCTCCAGGTACTCGTACTGCAAATGTGCCCACCATTTTCCCTCTCTTTGACACTTGCTGGGTACAGCTACACAGCTGTTGCTGCTTGCAACTCTGCAATTGGTCATAAGCACCACTCCATTTAATAGCTCTGGGTTATCTCTTGCCTGCCAGTCTT